GCTTGCTAGATGGCTACATTCAGTGAGGCTCCAGACAGGGGAGCAGAGATGAGAACTGTGCTTTTCCAGTCTCAATCCTGGTTATTTCTTCTCCCAGATTGTGAGAAAATGGAATTTATTATTCTTACCTACTACATGTTTTGCCCTTTCCTTTCAAATTATCAATATTTCTAAAAGCTAACTTCAAAACCCACCTCTCCCAAGAAGTCTTCTTTGATTGGCTCTACTATTTTTTTTTAGGCTTCCCTCGAGGATATTTTTTCCATTGCTTTTCAGAGAGAGTGGAGAGAGAGAGAGAGAGAGAAGAGGAAACATCGATGCAAAAGAGACACATCAATTGGTTGCTTCCTGCTTGCATACCAACTGGGTCTGGGATTAAGCCTGCAATTGAGGTATGTACCCTTGGCTGGAGGCAGAATCATGACCCTTCAGTCCACATGCCAACTGGACCAGCTCTAACCACTGAGCCAAACCAGCTAGGGCTGATTAGCTCTACTATTTAACTCTTCTTTCTCCTGTCTTTCTGAAACAATATTTAAGCAAATTTCCCACTGAAAGTGAAATTGAGGGTAACTTCAACATTTATTTTCTTTTACTTATTCTCAAAGTAAAGTCAACTTAGTTGTTCTTGAACAAGTCAATGCATCTTTACAAAAAGGAGATAATATTTATTTTTGCCTAGTTTATTTACAATTCAGACATTCAATTTATTAATGATGCTATTATTTTTCATTTAAAATTGATTAGTGCCCTAGTCAGTTTTGCTCAGTGGTTAGAGCATCGGCCTGCAGGCTGAAGGGTCCCAGGTTCGATTCCAGCCAAGGGCATATACTTAGGTTGCAGGCTCGATCCCTAGCCCCGGTCGGGGTGTGTGTAGGAGGTAACCAATCAATGTGTCTCTCTCACATAGATGTTTCTCTTTCTCCATCTCTCTCCCTCCCTCCCTCTGAAAAAGCAATGAAAAAATATCCTTAGGTGAGGATTAAAAAATAAAAAATAAATTAAAAAATTTAAAAAAATAAAATTGATTAGTTGTGTGGGGTGTTATTTTTCACTTGTTATTTCATTTTGTAATGATTTTCTTGTTTTTAAAGTGCATTTATTTTCCTCTCTGGAATAGATTTTTAAGTTTCTTAAGGCAGGGAACATGCTTTATCATCCCTAACAATACCACTAGCATAGGAATCTGCAAATAGCAGATACTCAATTTGCTGTTAACTGTCTACTCACCAATATAAGGTATTGATGTTGTTTAAAGAGAAAACGGACTTAAGACAGAACCATGGGCTAAATACCTTCTTCAGGCAAGGCCTTCCTCACTGAGTATTACGCACATAAAGAATTTACACAGGTCAAGATGGTGGAGCAGATAAAAGCAGTGCTTGCATCCTCCCAAAAGCACATCCAAATTACAACTAAACTGCCTGGCCGGGTGTGGATCAGCGGTTGAGCATCGACTTAGGATCCAGGAGATCATGGTTAGATTCCTGGTCAGGGCACATGCTCGGACTGTGGGCTCAATCCCCAGTTAGGGGTGTGCAGGAGCAGGAGGAGGAGGCAGCTGATCAATGACAATTCTCTCATCATTGATGTTTCTATCTCTCTCTCTCCCCTCCCCTCCTCTTTCTGAAATCAATAAAAAATATTTTAAAAAATTACAACTAAACTACAGAACCGTCATTCAGAACTTACTGAAATCTAGCTGAATGGAAGTCCTACAACTAAGGATGTACAAAAGAAGCTACATCGAGACTGGTAAGAAGGTGGAGAGGCTCAATGGGCTGGTCCCCTACCCATGTGTGCTGGATAGGAATCTGGAGGGATATCTTGGCTGCAGAGGTCCCGCTGAGGATCGAGGGGTCCCAGGCCCACACCAGGCCCCCAAGACCAGGGTTCTACTGCCAGAAAGAAAGGTCCCCATAACTTTTGGCTGTAAAAACCAGCAGAGATTGTGGCTGAGTGAGATGGAGGGCTCCTGGAGTCCCAGGAATTCCTCTTAAAGGGTCCACGTGGACTTACTAGGACTCACTTGCTCTGAGCTCCAGTGCTAGGGCAGCAGTTTGAAAAGTGCCAGAGGCATATGGGGAGGAACAGAATTGATGGGCATCAGGGAGAGAGCTGGGGGGAGCAGCTTTCTCCCAGACAAAAGTGCTAGCAGAGGTCATTGTTCCTTTGCTGAGCCCTCCCCCACAGAGCCAACTGGGGTGCCCCATATTTGAGTCTCCATCAACCTGGCTATCTCTATTCTCCTCAATCTGGTGATTCCCTGGGACCCTGCCCCATGCAAATTGCAGGCCCACTCAAGCTGTTTCTAGTGGCTTTTCCATATGAACTGCTTGTATTGAATTATGCTTCAGACTTTCCTAAAATCTCTCAAACTAGTAGTATCTGGCCTCAGTGTGCCAGGAGGCCCCAGGCCTGGCAATAGTGGCAGCCAGCTTTGCTTTGTAACTTTACCTCTTCTGGGCACCTCCAAGCCCAGCACAAGTAGCAGTAATCTGCAGATCATTCTGTAGCTCATGCTGGGTGGCCTCTCACAGAACATAGGTGGTGGCTGGCATTGGCCTGTACCTCCTGGGAGACCCCAGAGCCAGCACACTTGTGGAGAGCTTTAGACTATGTCAAAGTACCACCCAACCACCTCCATAAGTGACACATGCAAAGGAAGGACTCACCAGAGCCCCACTGAAGTAAGTGTTTCTCCTGGGATTGGCCCTTGCACAGCTGATTCTCCAAGATGGTCAATGATCACAGCCAGTCCTTGCAGCTGATTAGCCTGGAGGTAAATTCCTCCCATTGATGTGCCAACAGAATTCAAAGCTCAACTACAACAGGAAGGTACACACAGCCCACATGGGGGGGCAAGGCACACACCTGTAATCCCCAGCTTGGGTAAATAGGAAGGCTGTGACACTGAACCCTACAGGACACCTACTACATAAGGCCACTCTACCATGACTGGGAGATGTAGCAGCTCTACCTAATACATAGAAACAAACACAGGGAGGCAGCCAAAATGAGGAGACAAAGAAACATTTCCTAAATAAAAATAGAACTAAGCTCCAGAAAAAAAAACTAAACAAAATGGAGAAAAACAATCTACTAGATTCAAAGAAAAATACTGGTTATAAGGATGCTCAATGAACTTAGGGGAAGAGTAGATGAACTTAGTGAGAACTTCAACAAAGATAGGAAACATAAAAAAGAACCAGTCAGAAGTGAAAATTACACTAACTGAAATGAACAATACATTATAGGGAATCAACAGTGGAGTAGATGAAGCAGAGGATCAAATCAGAGATTTGGAAGATAAGAAAGCAGAAAACACCCAATCAGAACAGTAGAAGGAAAAAAGAATAATAATAAAAAAAAGAGGATAGTGTAAGGAGCCTCTGGGACAACTTTAAGCATATCAACATTCACATCATGGGGTGCCGGAGGGAAAAGAGAGAAAGTAAGAAATTGAACACCTGTGTGAAAATATAATGACAGAAAACTTCCCTAACCTGGTGAATAAAATAGACACATAAGTCCAGGAAGCACAAAGGGTCCCAAATGAGAGGAACCCAAAGGGGCTCACACTAAGATGCATCATAATTAAAACGTCAAAGGTTAAAGACAGAGAAAATCTTAAAAGCAGCAAGAGAAAAGCAGTTAGTTACCTACAAGGGAGCTCCCACAAGGCTGTCAACTGATTTCTCAACAGAAACTTTGCAGGGCAGGAGGGAGGGGCAAGAAGTGTTCAAAGTGATGAAAAACAAGGACCTACAACCAAGATTACTCTACCCAGCAAGGCAATCATAGAATCAAAGAACATACAAAGAGCTTCTCAGACATGAAAAAGCTAAAGGAATTCATTATCACCACTCACCAGCATTACATGAAATGTTGAAGGGCCTTCTTTAAGAAGAAGAAGGGGGAAAAACATTAAAAATATGAGTAATAAAATGGCAATAAATACACATCTATCAACAATTGAATTTTAAAAACAAAATTAATGAACAAGCAGACCAGAAACAGACTCATAGATACAGAGAACATTTTGACAGTTGCCAGATGGGAAGGGGCTTGGGGGATGGGCGAAAAAGGTGAAGGGATGAAGAAGTACAGATCGGTAGTTACAGAATAGTCACAAGGATGTAAAGTACAGCACAGGGAATATAGTCAATAATACTGTAATAACTGTGTATGGTGTCAGATGCGTATGAGATTTATACAGATGATCATTTAGTTAGTTATATAATGTCTGATCACTGGGTTGTACACCTGAAACTAATATAATATTACATGTCAGCTGTAATTGAAAATAAAATATTATTTAAAGTTGAAATAAATAAAATTTATAAAGTACAAAGTAAACAATTTAGTGAGCTGATATGTTTTACCAAGTGATATCTACAAAGGACATCTTCATTAGCTAGATGTTTAAGACCCTATATATAGGGAAGCAAACGGTAGGTGTGGGGGCATCACATTAAGCAGTTCAGGTAGAATCCTCTGCAGATAGTACCAGAGTGATAGATGGCACATGCTTTCCCTCACTCCCATGGAGCTTCAATAGCCAGAAAGGAAAAGCTATTGCTTCCAGCCTCAAGCCCCATATTTCCCAGTTAAAAATGTCCTTGGCTAAGACAGTTACAAGTGTCATATTCACAGCTACCATATTTCCAAATGCTTTCGAGAAGCAAATTAAGATTAACAGGAGAGGAAATCAGAGGGCCTAGAGACAGGCATAGGGAGAGAGAAACACAAATGCTAAGAGGAGGGAATGCAGAGTGCTAGCGACCGTGCTGCTGCGGAGGAGGGAGGAGAGTGAGGCTCAAATGCATTTCCAAATCCAGTACTCAGTGAGCAAGAGCCTCCACAGACCTGTTCTTAACCTCTCTGTTCTCCCACCTCCCTACAAATAAGCACCCTAATCTTCATGATGAAGCGGGAAGATTGGTCAACTGTGATTAACCTCTTGGCAAAGAGGAACAATCAGTGCCAAGCTCTCCTACCTCGTAATATTTGCCATCTGAGTAGCAGCCGCAGCTGTGGGGCAGGATGCAGCTCTTGCCATTGAGGACATAGCCCGAGTCGCACTGACAGCCCTCCACACAGTAGTGGTTGCAGTCACTTTTCAGGCGGATGGCAGCACAGCGGGGCTGGCAGACACTCACACAGCTCTCATAATGGCTGTTGGGAGGGCAGGTGACAGCTGGAACAGAAGACACAAGTCAAAACTTGTACAGTCCCAAGAACTGTAGGTGATCTCCTGAAGTCATTGCTCACCTACTTAGGGAGATGGAGGGGGTGTTGAGGAAGGTAGAATGAGATTTACCACCTTTTCTTACTAGTATCCTCTCTGCTTACGTAAAGCCTCTGAGTTATTATTGCTTAAACAATGGACCAAAGAGAAGATGAAGGTAGCTGGAGGTTCCTCACATAACCCTTGTCCTCTCTTCAGCCTGTTTTTGAGGTCCTCTAATCTGCTACCTTAAACACACCTCCCAACATGCCTCTCAGCTTCAGTTAGGCATCCACACTCACTCCCACCTCTAGGCCCTCACTCATGCGGATCTCCCTTTGGCATGCCTTTCTTTATCCTCACAGCCTATCCAAACTCCCCATTCTTCAAGTCTTATTCATACAGTTCCCCACTCTTACACCTATTCTAATAACTCACCTTCACCTCAGAACTTCCACAGAACCTTCTTCTCAGGCAGTAGTTTATAGACGGTAGGCCTCTGAGCCTCTTGATTGCTGAGAAGGCAAATGTGCCTTATGTGTGTGTGTGTAGACTGACCCATGTTAACTATGTTCTATTGATTTCAAAAGCATGCAGATGGTTATGGGAAGCAGTTAGGGTCCTGGTGAAGAGTGTGGGCTCTGGGGCAGATGTAAGAGACCATAGCCAGTTAATTAGCCTCCTGGTTCTCAGCTCCCTAATCTGCAACATGCACATACCCATGACACCTGCTCATGACTTGTCGGGAGGGACTGAGTGAGTCTGTGCTTAGAGCAGTGCTCAGCACAGAAGTGTTTAGTAACTGTTAGCCAATCGCCAATCACTAAAGACAGGTTTGCTTAAAAGTTTCATAGAAACTTATTTTAATAGACAGATATCAAAAGCACAACTACTAATATGTGAGAATTTCTACTCAATACCACTTAGCCTTGAATTACTGTTTTTGCATTGCTGCGTGACACATCTTGTGCTTTGATACTGTTGCAGTGAACATCCTTGTACATATATTTGCCCTCATGAGTAAGTGAATCTGTACAATAAATTCTGGAAAGTGAAATTACTGGGTCAAAGGGTATATCCATTTAAATCCTTGATAGATGCTACTGAATTGCCTTCTAAAGAGGCTGTGCTAATTTTTCCTCCTACCAGGTCTACAGGAGGTTTATTTTCCCGCATTCTCACTGATTGTTTATCACCAAATTTTCCGATCCTTGGAAATATGACAAGTTAAATGCTGTGGCTATAAGGGATTGCTATCCAGAATATATAGAGAACTCTTAAAACTCAACAATAAAATAATCAAACACCCTGATTAAAAAATGGACAAAGGATTTGAATAGACATTTCTCCAAAGAAGATATATGAATGAAGGTATATAAATGACCAATAAGCACAGAAAATCTGCTCCATGTAACTAATGATCAGAGAAATATATACCAAAACTACAATGAGATCTCATACCCATTAGAATGGCTACTGTTAAAAAAACAGGAAAATAGCAAATGTTGGCAAAGATGTGGAGAAATTAGAACCCTTGTGTACCACTGATGAAAAGTAAAATGGTACAGCTGCTGTGGAAGACATTATGGTAGCTCCTCAAAAGATTAAACATGGAATTACCATATGATCCAATAATTCCACGTCTAGGTAAATACTCAAAAGTTTTGAAAAAAGTATCTCAAAAAGATTTGTATGCCATGTTCACAGCAGCATTACTCACAATAGCTAGAATGTAGAAGCAGCCGTGTCTGTTGATGAGTGAATGGATAAACAAAAGGTGGTATGTACATACAACAGAATATTATTCAGCTTTAAAAAGGAAGGAAAGTCTATATTATACTACAACACAGATGAACCTTGAGGACGTTATGTACGTGAAAGAAGTCACCTGTAAAAAGACAAATACTGTATGATTCCACTTACATGAAGTATCTAAAGTACTCAAGTCCAGAGAGACAGAAATTAGAAGAGTGGTTACTGGGGGTTGGGGATGAGAGCTATTGCTGAATGGGTATGGAGTTTCAGTTTTGCAAGATGAAAAGAGTGCTGGAGGTGGTGGTGGTTGCACAGTATGGACTACTTAAAAGTACTGACATGTACACTAGAAATAGTGAAAAGAGTAAATTCTGTTATATGTATTCTACCATAATAAAAAATGGTATCTGCTATATCCTTCTGCAGTTTGCATTCTTTGTGAGGCCCATCGCCTTTTCATTTGTTTATAATCCATTTGTACGTCTTTTTCTGTTAATTGTCTTTCAATGTCCTTTACACATTTTTTTCTTATTAAATTGTAAAATCTCTTTATAAATGAAAGACTTTTGTCATTCAGTTATTAAATATTTTTCATTTTCCATTTGATTCTGCTTTTTGTGGATATTTATTTGCTTTTATGTTTCTGATATGTAGAAATTTGAAATTTTAAAGTGGTCAAATTTATCAGGTTTTCCCTATGGCTTTATGAGTCTTGCTTAGAAAAGGCCCTCTCTACAGCAAGATTACCAAACTGAACCAAACAAAACTCTTTTATTTCTTTCTAGCACTTTTATAACTTTTGTTTGTTTATTTAATCTTGGTTCTGTCTGGATTTTATTTTGAAGTGAAGAGTGAAGGAGCTGCTTAGATATTTTTCCCCGATGATTTCAAATGCCACTATATAGCAATCTCCCCTTAGCGCTTCGACCTATTTCTATATTTCATATCTTTCTACTGGTTGGTTTTTCTGTTCATGTTCCAGTTTTCATTACTGAAGTTCTACAACATGTTTTGATATCTTGGATGATATGCTACTGATTTAAAGGTGTCCATTATTGTTTCAAGTACGCTGGTCCTATTTCTCCAACTAGACTATAAACTTCATACTTTATGCTTCTGATTCTTCCATGGCACCCAAAAAAGTGCTAAGAACATAACAGGAGGCTAAGAAACTTGATTTTTAAAGACAAACTTTGAAATATGAATACTGACTTTCTCAACCCAAATGAAGTAATGAGGGCTGTGAGTGATAATAACCCTACTCTTGAGTTCCACTATGGTCACAGTGTGTCTCTTTCCATGGCCAGTGGGCTGATTTAGCCTTTGCTCCCAGGTGGGCAGGATGCATGGGTTCCCTGAAGAGCCATGGCATATGGTAGAATGGACAGGGCTTTGTAGTCAAAACGACCTGGCTTGAGCCCTGGCTCTGCCACTACCTAGCAGTGCCACCTTGGGCAGGTTACTTACCCTCTCTAAACCGCTTTTCCTCATCTGTAAAACGGGCATAAAAACATCTCCCTCATGAAGTAGTTGTTAAGATAAAATGAGGTTCAGCTTTTCAAAGCTTCTAGTACAGTGCCTGGTGCTTGAATGATAGCTTCTGCCATTAGTAGCTGTCACTGTTTAGTAGCAGTGATAGGATTCTTTTTTTAGTTATTCAACAAAAGTTTATTGGATCTGCAGAGAACTATGTAAGAAAATCCCTAATTACTAGACTTCGCAATGAGGGCTCTGAAGTAGCAGAAGTTGCCTCGGGTCAAAGGGAAAATGGTAGCAGTTCTCAAACAGGACTGACCGCCTACCAGGTGCCAGGCCCGGGAGGCCTGGCTCTTGAGACATCATCACGCTGAATTCTCCAATGGCTGGCAGACACCCCCCACTCCCGATTCTATAGACTGAATACCCCCTTCGGCACCAGGGGATTCCCCAGCTCCCCCGGGCCCGTGGCCTGACCAGGGTTGGGAAGGCTGCACTGCTCTGTGGGGAGAGTACTGTCCAGCTTACTCAAGCCACTTTCCGTGGGAAAATTACCTAATTTCTCTGAGCTTTGGTTTCTTCCTCAAGACCATGGAACTAGTAATAGTACCTACTTTACAGGGTTGCTGTGGGCAGTGAAGAGTACCTAGAGCACCTACACTGGTACCTGGCATGTAGTCAGAGCCAAGCAACTTATTCCCTTACTATGTTCTTCAGTTATGTACGTTCACTCTCTAGCACATTAAGTCCTCATTTTAAGGCACTGAAAGAATGAAAGATTCAGCTGAATGAATTTTAAGGAGAGGTTAGTAATTAAGATGATTTACTTCCCCTTCCCTATATGTTCAACTTGGGTCAAGAACTTTCCAATGCATTTACAAATGAGGTAATTGAGTAATAAATTATTTCATTTATAGGACCTGCTAATAGCATTGAGATGTTAAAGAACAGCAGAACTCTACTCTGCTCTCAATGAAGCATAAATTTAATGGCAATTCTGGTCTAACTCCCTTCTCCTGAAAGAACCATTTCTCATTGTGCAACCTGTGAACATTGCATTGGATCAAGTCTTAGAAGAATGAGGGGAGGGGAGGGGAGGGGTATTAGTTCTGCCTTTACTTCTCAGTGGTTAGAGTTATATGAAATATGGTTACAAGCAAGTATATCCAAGACAGACTTTCTCTGTTCACTGATCTCTCAGATCGAAGGGTGGAACTGGGATTCAGTCTCTCCCAGATTTTTTCTGCTTCTTAACTTTAAAATGGAAAACTAAGGTGCCCCCAAATGTATGCACCCCCTCCCCCATCCTCACCCACATACTGTCTTTAAATTATGAATATTTCTCTTATTTTAGATTTTCTCTTTGCCAGTTACTGCCACCATCTTCTCAGGTACTCCCTTTTGGATATTCCCCCGGTCCTGAAATGCCAAGGTCGGAGGAGGTATAACCCTACTGTGAGGGACACTGCTAAGCAAATGGAGGAGGCAAGGGTGGGGTGGGTCCAAGGCTGAGGATGAGGCAGGACGGACTCTGCTCTAAGTGCCTTGGATCCAACTCTCCATTACTACGTATAGAGGAAGCAACCGATGTCTGGAAAAAACATCAAGGTGGGGAGAGAAAAGGGTTCTGGTAGAAGGGCAGAAGGACAAGGAAACAGTCTTCATGTCGGTACGAAGTCAGCCTTTCTAAACCGGTTTCCTTACCCTGCAGCACTGTTAGCCCTCTGGGTCCAAGCTCT